GCTTTAGGGAAAGAGCTCATTGGAAACTCCTGCTTATCCATGCAATTTTTGATTTTGGAAGGGCAAGAGGCATTCTTTCCAGATAAGTCAACGCTCAACAAAAACAAATTAATGGCAATCATGGAGTATAACATGGTAGTGGATAACATGGATTCTGGAGCCAATCCATCTGGATTTGGATCCTTGCTCTAATAAAGCTTGGTGATCCTGAGAAAGTTACTTAACCTTTTGGAATTTTGGTTTCCTCATCTATAAAATGAGGATAATAAATAACAGTCCTATGAGGTAGATGTTGAAATTAAATAAATAAATGAGTGTAGAACACACAAAACAGTGCCTGGCACATGCCATCTGCTATGCAAGTGTTGACTCTTTTTATCCTGTTTAGGTTACTATGTTGCTCATTTCTTTCACCTTTTTTTGCTTGCTGTGGAGCATCTGAAATTCAATGCTGTTTAAAATTTTCATTTAGTGGTGTCCTGGAGCACACTATGTGTCACAGTTGTGCAGCATTGAAAGTTTCTGACATCAACAGTGAAGGGAAGCTAAGAAGGCCTGGAGCCCATAATTCAAAGCTCTGACAACTATTCTGGGTTAAGTTCATTTGGTGCTGGGAATGTGATAGGTATTCCACGTATGATATGATTTGAAGAAAGGATTCCAATTTGAGTTTAGGCTGTGTATACCCCAGAATTTCTGTGTCAGAGAAAGTTTTTAAGATCATTGGTAATAGGATTTCTAGCCATCTGTTTTTATCTCTAACTAGAGATTTTCCTGGTGAAAAATTCACCTAAGGGAGATAGTCTGCATTCCTGGGTCTGGCTAGAGGCAGAGGAGATGTAAGATTTCAATAATACAGAGTCAGTGAGATAAAGTTGTCTTTGACCCATTTCTCCTAAGCTTACTCTGACAAAAGTCCTAGAGTATGGGAGATCAAGATATACTCCTTTACAGTGGCTCTTGTCACTTTATTTTACCATCAGAATTATGTGGTTTGATAAAGAGTTTACAAATAGGTCTCCCTCTACTACTATTTGAATTCTATCAACTTAAAATATTTTATTTATTGATTTTAGAGAGAGAAAAGAAGGGAGGGAAGGAAGAATAGGGAGAGGGGAGAGAGAGAGAGATTTTTGCTACACTTTTTAATACATTCATTAGTTGATTCTTGTATGTGCCCTGACCAGAGATTGGATTGAACCTGAAACCTTGGTGTATCAGGACAACATTCTAATCAACCGAGGTACCCAGCCAGGGCCTGAACTCTATCAACTTTAAAATTCAATGCATTCTTTACCATTTAATAAGCACAACACAAAAACTAGGCCCTATGGGCGTAGAGGGACCACTGATGGAGACAATAAAGCATAAGAACTTTTTAGGAAATTCTGCCTAATTCAGTATGGTGGAATGCACAATACATGAAAGTGAAAGATATAAAATCAGAGAATCTCATCATTGGGAGGAAGCATTAAAAGTCATCTTGTTGTATCAGCCTTCTGATTTTTTTCTGAAAGCCCCTGCTTTAACTGTTTAAGTGGTTTCCTCAGGAGCCTTCAGGGGCTATCCCCTCAGTTCCATTCTTTAAGAGTAGTCTTTACATTGAGCCAGATCTGCCTCCTTAGCACTGCTGTACTTTTAACTTAGGGCCATGTAGCCCAACACATATCTTTTCCATACACCAGATTTTCGGGATTTGAAGATAGGTATCACGTACTTTTTGACTCATTTCTTTATGGTCTTTCTATCACTATAGTCTTTTTCCACTGAAGGGATCCTAGTGTGTCTATATACTTTTTGAAATGTGTCATTCCTCTCTTTTTTGTGGTGCCTTGGGGGCAGTCAGCTGCCTCAGGATGAAGCCGAACATCTCTTTCTCAGCTACTGTCTGCCAGAAACTCATTGAAGTGGACAATGAATGCAAACTTTGGACCGTTTATGAGATGTACGGCCACAGAAGTTGCTGCCGTTGCTCTGGGGAAAGAATGGAAGGGTTACGTGGTTCAAGTCAGTGGTGGGATCAACAAACAAGGTTTCCCCAGGAGGCAGGGTGTCTTGACCCATGGCCATGTCTGCCTGCTACTGAGTAAAGGGAATTCCTGGTACAGATTGAGGAGGACTGAAGAAAGCACAAAACTGTTCAGGCTTGCATTGTGGAGACCAATCTCAGTGTTCTCAACTTGGCCATTGTAAAAATGAAGAAGAAAGATGTTTCTGATCTCACTGCAACTACTGTGCCTCATTGCCGGGGCCCCAAAAGAGCTAGTAGAATCTGCAAACTTTTGCATCTCTAAAAAAGTGATGTCCACCAATATGTTGTAAGAAAGCCCTTAAACAAAGAGGGGCAGCAACCTAAGATCAAAGCACCCGAGATTCAGCATCTTGTTGCTCCACCTGTCATGCAGCACAAACATCGACATGCTGCTCTGAAGAAACAACATACTAAGAAAAAAAGGAAGAGGTTGCAGAATATGCTAAACTTCTGGCTAAGTGAATGAAGGAAGCCAAAGAAAAACGCCAGGAACAGATTGCTGAGAGAAGTGGGCGGTCTTCTCTGAGGGCTTCTACCTCTGAGTCCAGTAAAAAATGAGATTTTCTAAGAGTAATACATAAATAAGAACAGACATCAAATCTTAAAATGAAATGTGGTACCCAATACAGAATATAAGGCCCATGCAAACTCGATTACTCATCTAGATATACTTTTATTGCTTGAGATAAGGCCATAATTAGCCTCAAAAGTCAGGGTAAAGAATTTGAATTTTATTCTTCCAGGCTTGGGGGAACCACTGAAGCACTGTGCAAAGGTAAATGCCCCGAGAGCAGGGGCTGTACCTTACTGTGTAAACCACTGACTCTAACTGGAATGTGAGCTCTAAATGTTGTCTGTCACATTCACAGCATAGCTTGAGGGCCTCTGGCAGGGCTGGTGTAGCTACACGAGTGAATTAACATCTATATCAGAGCCTGCCACATTGTGCATATATAATTTATGCTTATTTAATGCAAGATAAATAATCAAGGTAAGTAGGAAGGTAAGTTATGTTTTAGAACGATGACTGATAACAGTACATAAAAGTTACTGGAGACAAGAAATAACAGCTACCAGAGGGTGGAAAACAAGGAGAAGGAGTTGCAGCAGTCTCACCAAGAAGTAACATACGTAACAATATAAACTAGGATAACAGAGTGTGTAACAAAAAGGAAGGAATGGATATGAGGTTGTGAAAGAGGATTTGACAAGATTTATAAATTAAATAGACATGTAGTGGGAAGAAGAAGAAAGTGATTAAAAAAACCCAGGGCTTATAGTTGGATGGCTGAAAGAAAAATGTTGTCACTCATTGAATAATTTGTTTTAGGACTGGCAGATATTTTAAGGGATGATAGTGAGTTCAGTTTGGGTTTGGTTGGATTTAAAGATATGGCATGCTCAGAACGTAAGCACGTGGGACTGAAGTTTAGGAGTAAAGACGAGCAGAGTCTTTAGAGCTGAGAGTCATGCAAGGATAGGACAGTTGAAGTCATAGGGAGTCAGTGAGATGGCCAGAGGAGAATTAGAAACAAGGGACTGTCTGCCTTTAGGGTGGAGGAAAGAGGTCAAAGAAACGCAGACGGAATAGTTACCAGTAGGAAAACCTCAAGAGTGTAGAGTCATGAAATTGAAGAGATGCGAATATTTTAGGGAGGGGGCTTGCCAACAGCCTCAGATGCTACAGAGAGACGGAAAACCTTCTATATCTGGAAACTGGAAAACATCAAGTCATCTTAGATTCTCCTATTCTTACCTAATTAAATCTGAATTCCTGAACTTGGGATAAAAGGTATCCAGTTTGCTTATTCAAGCTTCTTATTCACAGCCATCAACTTCTAATAAGCTGATTTTGCTCCTATTAGGCTGATATCTTTCCTCTCTCCCTTCTCAAAAAGTAAAACATATTCTTATTGAAAGAAGAAAAACGTGATGTTGTTTTGGTTCCAAGTGTTCCATGCTTGTTCTTTGCTCTTATTTTCATACACAGGGATCAGATTCAGGTTTCATAGGGCCTGAAGCTTATACAAGTTGGTGGGGGGCTCTCTTTAAGAGAAAGAATACAAGATTTTTGAATGCAAAACTACATAAAAAGTTTTACTTTAAAATGGGAAAAAATCACAATAAATTATTGGAGCCTTGGATATTGTTTCCCTTCTTCTGAGACCTCTTAGACAAAATAGGTTTTCTTGACAGGTACTAATGACAGATAAAACAGTAAATCCAAAATTTGTTTTCCAAAGAGAAGACCTGTCCTAGAATTTTTTAAGTAACTCTGAAGATTGTTGTTTTGTTTGAGATGAATAGCAGCCCTACTCAGGACTAGAGTAGGGAAAAGGAGGTTGGGCATCAACCTATTGGTTTAGGTAAAGTTTGGTCCTGCTAAAGTAGGGAACAGAATAACAGCATTTACAAATCCAGCAAGGTCAGTTCGTCTTTTACATAATACTTCCCATAGAGATTGATCACCTCTTCCTTTCCTTGTGTTCTCTTCTTAGATCGCTTTTTTTCCTCCATTTGTAGTATCTTATGTTTCTTAAACAAAACAACTTAAAAAAAGACCCCCCAAATAGGTGGGTCTATATGTATTAAAATACATATTTTTTCTCTTGTGAAAATAAAATTTCACAAACTTTAGTTTGAAGGGAGGGGTGATGATGAAGAAACACAATAATGAAGCTTTCTTGCTATAATGACCAAATTAAAGACATCCTCTAGGCAATAGCACCAACAGAAGTGCTCCCCCACTTGCCTCTAAACAAGACTATGCCTAAGACATCCCCTCTCCATGCAAGTTCCACATTTCAACAACAAAAAAAATCTCTAAGGAAAAAAATAGTTCTTTACTTCCCTCCGGCACTTCCCTAGCATTTCCCAAGCTTGTAGAAATGTGCTATTAAACCTACAAGAATTGTTGGCATTATTCCAGTAAAAACTTCACCAGGAAGGCAATACGGGTTTTATTTACCTTTTGAGAGAATAACATTCAAGGCTGGCTTTTGGCAGAGCAGTCTCCTCCCACTCAAGTCCATCTCTTGGCAGTCTCTCCTTTTCTCATCAACCCCCTCTCACAGAAGGAGAGAGTGGCTGGTAGCTCTCCCCATTCCCTACTCCCACACTGAGAAGCTTCATGAATAGTTCAAGTAAAACAGAATCAAGTTTCAGACACTCCCAGAGTGAGTGAGAAAATGATCCCACTAGATTAAATTGGAACCTAGATCAGTAGAAGAATATTTCCACAACGCTGCCAGGGCTGGGGCAGCCAAGGTTAATAGCCCCAGCGATGCCTTCTAAGTAGGATCCCATGGGTGGTAAAAGGCGGGTCAGCAGCCAGCTTTTGGGCCTATGCAGTGGTTCTCTGGATTGGCAGCATCCTCTGGAAAATTTTTACAAATGCAAATTCTTCTATCTTCATCCCAACCTTAATGAATCTAAAACCAGGTGACTGTGATGTATGTTCAAGTTTGAGAACTATTTGTCAACAAGATGAGTGAAACTCTAAAGCAGGGGGTGTCCAACTTTTTGGCGTTTCTGCGCCACACTGGAAAAAGAAGAGTTGTCTTGGGCCATACGTTAAATATATTGTGACACATAATCACAAAAATAATCTCATAATGTTTTAAGTAAATTCATGGTTTTGTGTTGGGCCACACTCAGAGCCATCCTGGGCTGCATGTGGCCTGCGGGCCCCAGGTTGGACAACCCTGCAAATTTCCCTTTTTTCTCAAAAAGAATTTACTTAGGACATTTGGATCAGAAAAGTCAAAATGATTTCACTTAGCTTTAGTTATTATACACATTTATATACACACATGAAAGTCTGTCTGGAAAAATCTCAGCCATTGTTAATAGAGGGAGAACAGTTTGTGTGACATCGATGTAACGTGGCAGCCAAGGGGAGTGGACTGGCATGCGCATGTGTGAACAATGGCAACTTCACTGTCCTACTCGGTGGGGGCAGTAGACACCCTTGAGTGGGCACGTGTATTGTGTGGGTGTCACATTCAAAATGACTCAGCAAGTAGAGCAACAAATCTTCATCAAATTTTACATTAAGCTTGAACATTCCTCTGTAGAAGCTATTTGGATGATTCAGAAGGCCACAGCTATGGGCACTGGAGAGTGGCAGCTTCGTCAAATTAAAAAAAACAAAATTATACCATTTGTTTTTTATTATAAATGTAATATAATGACATATCACATTCAAACATTTCAGAAATACATACCAACAGACAGAAATCTTCTATTAATCCCACTCTTCAGAAATACACTGATAACAGTTTGGTGGATTTCTCCAGCTTTCATTTCTATATTTATTATAATTATTATTAATATCATTTATAAAATAATACTTATGTTATGCTTTTTACATTTAATACTATATCTTGAACATCTTTCCATTTTAATACATATAGACCCACCTATTTTTTTTAAATCCTCACCTGAGGACATTTTTTCATTGCTTTTAGAAACAGAGGAAGGGAAAGAGAGAAACATCAATTGGTTGCTTTCCCTATGTGCCCAAACCTGGATCAAACCTGCAACCTAGGGACATGCCCTGACCAGGAATTGACCCTGAAACCTTTTGGTTACAGGGCAATGCTCCAACCAACTGAGCCACACTGGCCAGGGTGTAGGTCCACTTAATTTTTTTAATGGCTGCTGTGTATTCAATACTTCCTTACATAGATACTCCGTAGTCCATTCTCTTTATTAGTGGGTGTTTGGGTTGTTTCAAATTTCTTATTATTATATCAGTGGATACCATCTTACATATTTCTCGGAGAACTTGTGGAAATGTTTTTGTGGGCTAAATTCCTCAAAATACTAAAAATATAAATGCTGGGTGGTATCTAGGATTTTAATAGGTATTGCCAAATTACACAGTAAAAAGGTAATAACAATGTATACTCCCTTCAAATAGGTATGAGAGTGCCTGTTTTTTTCCCAGTGCCACCAGTATAGGTAGGTTCCTTTCAATCTCTGAAATATTCATCAGTTAATAGGCAAAAAATAATATCTCAGTTTTTAAAAAACTGCATTTCACCCTGGCTAGTGTGGCTCAGTGGATAGAGTGCCTGCCTTTGAACTTAAAGGTTGCTGGTTCGATTCCCAGTCAGGGCACATGCCTGGGTTACAGTCCAGGTCATTCATTTGGGGATGTGCAAGAGGCAACCCATCAATCTCACACATAGATGTTGCTCCGCTTTTCTTTCTCCTTCCCTTCCCCTCTCTCTAAAAATACATAAATAAATACATACATACATAAATAAATAAATATAAAAAAACTGCACTTCCCTAATTACTATGGTTTTGAAATTTTTGTACATCTTTTGCAGATTTTCTGTACCTATTCTTCCTGTTCTTTAATTGGGCTATTCATCATACACACACACACACACACACACACACACACACACACACACCCCCCTAATAACTTTTGTGATACAAGTTGCTCCTGCTTCTAATCCTGTGCCACTCCCACTCCTCTCACTTTTGAGTCTGCTCTCTATTGACATTGGCTTTCAAAATTCAGCCTGTCTTCTCAGCTCCAATAACCTTCTTCTGGCTCCTGTTTCTCTGACTAGTCTCATCCCCTTCCACACACCTATAAATTGTGCTCCTGCAGCTCTAGAATCTTCCATCCCAAGATACTGATCTAATTTGTCAATCAGTTCTCCAATTCTGCACAGACTGCTCTGTTCACTCTCTTTCCTCAGGCTTCTGAGTGAGTATTGGCAGAGAAAGTAATAACAACGCTCCACAATTTCATGAAAATTTAGGCTTTTTCACTTGGGGTTCTCAGAGCATTTGACAATCTTTTTATTCATACCTTTTTATTCCTGTACTTCCCAACCAGTTGCCTACAGCCGTACAGCTATATCCAACACCATTTCTACCTCTTAACCCTCAGTGGAAGTTCCACCTATTATTTCTCTTTGATGATCAGAGCCATTGCACAAGTGTTGTCAGTTTCTCTTCTTCCACTTCAAAATGTCTGCGCTTTTGCCCTGGCCAGGTGGCTCAGTTGTTTGGAGCATTGTCCTGTACACCAGAAGATTGTGGGTTTGATCCTGACTGGGGAAACATACCTAGGTTGTGGGTTTGATTCCCAGGGCCGATAAGGGAGATGACCAATTGATGCTTCTCTCACATCGATGTTTCTCTCTTTCTCTCTCCCCTTTCCTCTCTCTCTCTCTAATATCAATGAACATATCCTCTGGTAAAGAGTAAACAAACAAACAAACAAACAAAAAACGACAAAATGTCGCACTTTTTTCAGTAAAAGGATGCCTTGGTTTTTCTGAGACTAACACTTCTACACACAGCCCTAACTTATCTCCTTGTCTTCCCTAGGACCAGTCTTGCTTTCTTGAACACATGTATTTTCTTGCATTTTTAATTTGCCCCTTTCCACAAGCTAGGTCTATAGACACATTTTTTAAAAATTCCCACCTCTACCTTATCTCCCACCCCAGCTACCTCTTGATTACTTACTCTTCATTGCCACACTTCTTGAGAAAGTGGTGTATGCTAACTACCTGGCTCTATTTTCTTTCTATTCACATCTCACTGAAACTATGGTTCCCACTCCCTCTAGTCTCCTCAGATTTGTTCATCCCCTTCTCTGAACATATGGTGCTGTTGCCCAACCTCTTCTACCTTAAAACTCCTTAAAAACTGCCCTACTCTTTTCAGGTTGCTTCTTCCTTCTTCCATAATCCGAAACAAGTATTTTTTTGAGACGTCCTTTGTGTCCTTTTTCTTATTTCCTTTATCTTTGTTGCTGTCGTTCTCTGCAGCCACCAGTCTCTTGCAGTTGATGCACAAGTTGAGGTGTAGGTCCCACCTCTTCTCTTGGCCGGACGCCCTATGACTTTGTATGCTTAATAAGCATTTTTATCTGGCTGTCCCACCAACCGGTCCATCAACTGAACTGCAACTGAACACATCTGAACTTCCGGTTAGCACCCATCTCTGTTATTGGTATCACCCAAAAGCCTTCTTTGCTATCACAGCTTTCTTTCATTCCACATACAATTACATGGCAGACCTTGTTGGTATACTGTCACAAAAGCATCGACGGCAGTCATTTCCTTTTTAGTTTTATTGACGTAGGTCAAGTCTTTGAAATTCCTCCCTTGGGTTTTTGCTAACCCAAGTGGATTTCCTGCTTCTAGTTTCTCACTTTCCCAAAATAGCATGGATCAGTGTTCCTGAAAATTTTTTTAAAAAGATTTTATTTATTTATTCTTAGACAGAGGGGAAGGGATGGAGAAAGAGAGAGAGAAAGAAACATTAATGTGTGGTTGCCTCATGTGCACCACCAACTGGGGACCTGGCCCACAACCCAGGAATGTGCCCTGGCTGGGAATCAAACCAGTGACCCTTTGGTTCATAGGCCAGTACTCTATCCATTGAGCCACACCAGCCAGGGCTATGTTCCTGAAAATTTTAACTGCTGTAGGGTTTCCAGATAAAAGACAAATATTTTTTTTAGTATAAATATGTCCTATGCAATATCTGGAACTTACTTAAACAAAAAATTATTTGTTGTTCTTCTGAAGTTCCAATTGATTGGTCAGCCTGTATTTTCACTTGCCAAATCTGGCACCTCTATCTGGAGACACTTACTATCAATACAACTGGTGCATCTGCAGACAACCATTTCAAGTAATTAAAAAACCTGGCTTACCATAATGATTAAGGTAACAGAAATGCTTGTAATAGTTTAAAAATTAATAGTAGTAATAGTAACTGTTTAATGTTGGTAGGCTGAAAACATGTGCTCTAGGTCAGTCTTCACATTTGACTTCTTAGTTTTTATTTCTACTAAAATCAGAAAATCTGAATTTACCATGATTTTGTCAGATATCACAATGAGTGTGTGATGGTTACAAGATAATTCTGAATACAGTAGACTCCTGCCCCCTTATCCATGGGGCATATGTCATACGTTTCAAGACCCCCAGTGGATGCCTAAAACCACAGATGGTACCAAGCTATCTATCCATCTCCATATATATCTATCTTTATCTATATATCTATATATATTCCTATCCATATGTACCTATGATAAAGTTTAATTTATAAATTAGACA